GTCCGCCCTAAAGCCGGACATCTGGCCACCCTAGTCCCCACTCCATCTCACCATCAGTTTTGGGGTCCTTCACCAAAAAACGTTGAAGACCTCTGCATTAGATAGAACGGAAAACATTTATTGCGATTTTAAAGTGAATCTAATGATATATTCCTAATTTACAGGAAATATCAAAGATTAAATAGAGAGCACTTAACAAAAATGTCACAATCTGTAATTCCAGAGGGAAATCTGTATTTTCCCTCGGGGAATATTAAAGTATGTCTGATTCTGAATCTATGTCTAAAAAGGGGAGCAAGAAATCTGATTAATAAAAAATAAATAAATAAATAAAATAGTAACACAATTCACACTAAGTCCTTTTTAATCTAGGTTAATATTTTACAACATTTTAATACAGAAGTCATAAGGAATACACTGGTTATTGGTGGTTATTTGGTTCACCAGTAATAACCAATACAACCGTTTGTCATTTCCTTGTTATAGCCCAGTTACATTGTTATCATTACAAAAATGTGCAATCATTTTTATTTTATTTCTATGAAATAGTTCCTGTTTACCAGCTGTTTTAACTGACACAGACTGCAACAGAAACAGTAACACAGATAACATCCCAAAAAAGCTCTTTTCATTTAAAGTGATTTACATACTTTAAGCCTTTATGCAGTTACTCCACTAAACTGCTCATGCAACAGAAAAGCACTATTTCTTAATTATAAAATTCATATTCTTTAAAGGAGGAGCCTTTTTTTGCAGAATATCGGCATATGACTATTAGATCAAATCAAATTAACTATCAGCACCACTCACCTTTCTTTGAATGTATATTGTTAGACTATAAGGCATTTCTCTCAGGAATCTAGGAAAATAATAACATCCATTCGTAATCCAAAATGCTCGAATGTCTAAAGCAGGCGGATAATTTTCTATCATATTAGCCATTGTGTTTTCAGCCAGATAGCAGAGCTGCCTCAATGTGTATCAGCAAAGAAAAACACAAATTGAAATTATTGACTAAAATTTGTACTAAATTGTGTACTGAAATCAGTCATAAATACGACAAGTGAAAAAAATAACGTTTCTGGGGTATTCAGTTAATTAATGCTAAATATTTCCATTGAGGAAACCTTGCCATTCGACTTTAGCTTCTATGCTAGCAAACCTTTAGCATTCGTCGCTCAGAGCAACAAAACCATTTCCGGCCTCTAGCCTTCGAAAATAAAAGCACCACCAAAATTACCTTTTCTTCTTCTTCTTTGTTAGATTGGCGGACTGCAAAAAACTTTTAGGTGTATATCGCCACCTACTGTACATAACTGTGTAGCTCTATAGTTCCACCTACTATATTCTATTTTTTATTTATTTTTGTGTTATGTAAAAAAAATAAATAAATAATGCTTTATTAATAACCATTAATTTTTCTCCCTATCTCCATCTGTCCCTAAAATTCCTTTAATACTCCATTCTCTCCCTTTTTCCATAATTACATTCCTCATCCTCTCTCTTTCAGTTGCATATGAAATGCAATCCATCAAAACATGATCCACATTTTCTTTTCTTTCACAACCCTCCCATAAATCATTATTTCTCTTCCCTAGTACAAACAAAAACTCATTCAAGTAGTTTTGTCCAGTTCTTAATCTAATATAAATTATCTCTCCCCTTCTGGTTCTTTCTCCATAATTTTTAACAATTACAGATTTTTTAACCATATATAATCTTCTTAAAATTACCTGTTACATCTCTTCATCTTATTTCTATTTTACTGTGTTTTCACATAAAAAAAATTGGTTTATCATGGAAAAAGTACTTTACGTGAGTGTTTATTTTGGATGAGGGTTTCTTTCTTAGTTTTTCATTTGCAAAACTGAGAAAGAAACATAGACATTTGCACAAAATGCATTAAAATAAATCAATACATGGATATGCCCAAATGTTCTCCTCAAAACAAAATGATTAATGCTCAGAAATTGAGTGTAGCTCCTTATGAACTCAACTCCGAACCTACAGAGGCACATAATGATAGTAACAAAGTTGGCCTTCTATCACCTAAACACAACACCAGAATTAAAAGACTAAATATCAGCCTACTTGAAACTACTTGATGTGTTCTTCTTAGTAGAATTGGTTACTGCTATAAGGACATCTACAGTTCATCCAGAATACTGCTGCCAACGTCCTCACTAAATTTAAGATAGTGGAGCACATAACCTGAGCTCTTAAGTTTTTTAGAATGCTCTTCTTATCTCAGAGAATATGCTTTAAAATACATCTGTATCGGTCTATTAATCCTCTAATGGCTTAGCATCAAAATGCATTACATACTTTTTTTAATTGCAACCTCCCAGACCTCTCAGGTCTTCTCACAGAAATCTACTCCCATACTCAGAACCAGAATCAGGAGAAGAGGCTTTTAGTTCTTATGCTCCACTATCCTGGAAAGAATTCCCAGCACACTGTAAAAGGGCTGAACCCTAACGGAAAGTACCTATTTGTTTAGAGAAGCCTATGACTTTTCTATCGAAACATAATTAGTTATGATTTCTGTCCAGCTTTTCTTTTTGTATTTTTATAATTGTGTCATTTAATAATAATTTTATCTGTTTTCAACATAATCACCTTATTTTATTTTATCCTCCTTAATTATTTGTGTTGTCTTTATGGCACAGTAATTTAGTTTCCTTTTTCTTCTTATGTACAGCCATTTAAAATGTTGTGGAATAAAGAAATTTAGAAGGGGAATAAAAAAACAGTATTCCACTTTAAGTTGATGGGATCATAATAAAGGTAAAGTGTTGATAATAGTTAATATTATTTGCACCCCCTTACCCCTCTCCCCCCCAGGCTCCAGCACACAGAAAACACTCACCACACAGGGCTTCGGGACTATGGGGGTGTCTACGGTCCCTCTTAGCAGGTTCTCTTTTCTCCACCCTATGGGACACCCAACCCGTGTTTTAATGGCACCTTAGACATTAAATCCACTTACACTAACACATTAGGCCCAGGGGGGTGGGTGTGTTGAGCAGGGTCGGGGTCTTGTTCCAACCTGCAGGTGTGCCATGGCTCCCGGGGCACTGAGTTGGTCAGTGGTGGGGTCTGTGCTGGCCCTCTGCATGGGGCTGTCCGGGGTGCCTGACCCTCTTGAATGTTCTGGGTTGGGGGCTCTGCTGGGGCGGTTTGGTGGCGCTCTGGCTTGTGGGGCTCGGGTTTCGACCCTTGTCCTGTGTCTGTCGGACCGGGGCCCTTGGTGGGATGGATTGGTGTAGCTCATGGTTCCTGCAGGGGCCACAGCCCTATGCTCTTTGGGGGGCTCTGTTGGGGGGTTTCCTTTTTGACCCTCTGGGTGGGGGCCTGGTTGACTACATGGAGATCTTCCTGGTCTCTGTGCTCCGTGATGGCCGCTGGTGAACTGAGTCTGAGGTCCTCTCTGCCTCCTCCAGATTGCTGGAGCTGGGCCGATGGTGGTGCCCCCAATGCATGTCTGTTTGCAGGTGCTCTTACAGGTTCTCCCTCGGGTTTGTCCACAGTGTTTTTGCTGCTTGTTTTTGTTAGGTTCCATATCACTCTCCCCAGTGTCTGTTTGGCGGAGCTAGATGGGGGGCCAGGGGTGGCCACCCCTGCTATTTTTCCCTTTTATACAGATGTTGGCAACAGTAATACTCTCAAGTGGAATATTTTAAACATTATAATTTTTCATATATTAACAATTACTTGACAACAAAAACGCTGTGGTTAATCATGCACATCAATATACTAACATTAAAGATGATAGGTACAGAACTCAAGCAGAAATAGATTTTGTGTTTTATGAGGTAAAGAGAAAATTATGTGTCTCTGCAAGTCATCTAGGAGTTTTTAGTGAAATCATAGATAAATAACTATTTTAATAATAAATTATTAAATAATGAATTTATGTAGATATTAGTACTTCTAAATTATAATTTTTATGCAGAATCATTACTGATAAAAGTAGGTTAGTAATGTCAATGGAAAAGATTTGATCCACTATAACTTTTATCTAGAAAGCACGAATATTTGAATATATTGGCTTATTTGTTAGCAAAGGCTGTAGGAAAGTATAGTTTGTCTGTATTTACAAAATATTGATGTTTTGCTCATTAATGTTCGTGTTGGAAAAGCATAGATTGACGGTGAGGTTTTTGTGCCTATCTACTTTTGGCCACCCCTCAGTGTACATTGGTTATTGCCTTGCCACCCTCATAAAAATTGTCTGGCTCTGACGACAGGGGAAAAAAAAGAAAATAGTTAATAAATAGATTATTTTATCGATTCTACATGCATTCTGAGAAATTAACTTTAAAATTAGCAAAAAATTAAACTTTATGTATTAGAATGCTCATCTTCATATCTATTAATAGTATGCCAATTTGAAATTTTTTTGTTTGGACTTTTCGGTTTTATTGGTTTCAATTTACGTAGCAGAAGCCTCATTCTGCTAAAATCCTTTTCAATGTTTGTTACTGTAGCTCTCTAAAACAATTTTTCTGTTTTCTTTGTTTTTTTTTTACTGGAAAAAATAAAAGGGAATACTTTTATATGCATGTAAAGAAAAAGTAGGGCTTGAAATTTGGTTTGGCCTATTCTTGTTACGGAAAGTTTGAGAACCACTGATTTGACCGACTTAATGTAACTGTGCATAAGAGGAATAAAACATAAGATTTGTTTGTGAAAAGAGAGCAAAACCGGAAGTCAAGTTTTTGTTGACCTTAAAATGCTTTACTAATTTCAGAAAGGAATTCTGCTCACAAAATGGCAGGAAATGATGCCCCATTGGTGACACGCTTATGTGTGTAATAGACAAGACATGTCCCGTTATTTGTCGTCCTCTTTTAAAACCCTGCACGAACGCGAGGAAGAGGTTAAACAAAATAAAAGTCACAACCAAACTACAAGAAGCATTGTATTAAATAGCCCGATTTTGGTATACTTTTGTTTAAATAATTGTGAAAAATATATATATTCGAAGCGGTTGCAGTGGTTCACGACCAATTAAGAAATACGATGTTCTGTAAAGTTTTAGGGATAGCTTTTATTCTGAAGGTTTGAAAGCGGAAGGGTCGTATTTTACCAACTGAATAGTAATTCGGCCCAGTACCGTGTGAGAAAAGGAAGAATAGAGGGCAGCTTGTAGTGTTCAGCGGGGTTTGGTAAAGGGTTTGGGGTGGTGTTCTTGTAAATTCTTTTTTTTTTTTTTTTTGCTCATAAAGACTGTTGTTTCTATTAACTATCCTGGCGAGAGGTTGAACGGTTAAAATGGAGGCGGACAGATCCGGCGGAGGACCAAACCCGAACTCCGGAGGCGGTGGTAACGGCAATAGCGGAGCGGGGCGCAACCCTAACGGGCCTAAATCGGCACCGGGCCAGACGACATCGGGTGCCATAGTCGGGCCAATGGCAGCGGCAGCCGGCGCCGTTCCCGGGTCGTTCCTGCCGCGAGAGGCGCAGGACGGGGACTCGGGTATGACGCTTCCCGGGATCCTACACTTCATCCAGTACGAGTGGGGACGCTTCCAGGCCGAGAAATACCGCTGGGAGGCTGAGAGGGACGAACTTAGGGTAAATTTGTCTCTCTTAAAAAACAAAAATAACAAAACATGAGTTTGTTGCTCTCCCATCCAAATAAGCATGAAACAAAAGATATTACAGAATCATAATCTTTGCCCTGCGAGCGCCCATATTCCTTTAAATCATTGTCAGAGGGGCAGCATGCTAATGGGCTACACATTACACCGACCAGGATGCATTATTACTGTACAATATAAAGAAGTGTACCACTTAATGTTAGCAAGAAGGGAAACTGCTACCACTCTCCTTCATAAATTAAACAAACAAGGTTTTAACGAGCATTTATTCATGCTGGTTAAATGCAAGTTGACAAACAAAAAGGCGAGGTAAACAATTCACTTTTGGTTTCCTTTCTTATACTTTGATTTCTTTTCTTTTTTAAAGACACCTCCTAGCCACAGCTATTTAAAATGTTTTCAGACATTCATGCCAAACTGCACGCAGAGGAATTACCGATTATTAAACAAATCCTCCTTAAAATCACCCCATTATTGAGTTATTATTATTATTTTTTTATAAGATCATGTCCTTACTTAACTAAATGTTCATTTGAAATGCAGATAGATCTATAGTGGTGCTCAAAACACAATATTTTTTTTACAACGACACGTTTTAATTTGAAATATTTCATTTGATTCTTAAATGCTTTTATCATGCCATCTGCTTTTTTTTTTTTTTACAAACATGCTGCATGTAGCTCTCCTATGTATTTAAAACAGGGTTATCTTAATAAGATATTTGCTGTCTGTTGTTTTTTCTCTCTTCCACAACTGGAAATAGTCTCTTATTAAGTCTTTTGTTCCATGCCATGACTTTCTTTAAAGGCAAAGCAAGTTTATTTGTATAGCACAATTCAGTACAAAGGCAATGCAAAGTGCTTTACATGAATAAAATATTGGAAAATAAAACAGAATCAAAGCAAGTAGGAAAAAAAATAAAATAAAAAAAATGCAGAAACAAAAAGATCATTATGGTTAAGTGAGATAGTATAGTAAGCATAGTAGAAGTGTTTGTTTAGCTTACTGAACAGAAAATGTCACTATAGTTTAGAGCGGAGGTCTTCAACAGAAACTTCCTGGAGGTAACAAAAGTTTTAGTAGATTAGACTTTTTTTTTTATATTCCCCCTGCAATTTTTTCCACTAATTGAAATGTCTTTAAATACACTTTAACATGATTTCAACACACTGTAGTAAACATAAATAGATGCAGAAGATGTCTTTCTGCCGTTTCATTCATAACACCTGTCCCATCAACCAGGAATCAGAATCAGAAATACTTTAATAATCTCAGGAAGAAATAACTTTCGTTACATTACTTCATCTGTAATAGAGTGGCTATAGGTACAGTTTTATATAACACAATTTTATACAATATATATAAATAGGGGGTCCTTGGCCTGGAAAACGTTGAAGACCCCTGCTTTAGGGTAAAGGGAGTCTTTCTTTTCCCTTTGCTATTTCCAATAGCAGAGAATGGCATAGTAGCTCTATGAATATTATGGGAAAACATATGACTGCTTTTTTTTTGTTTTGAAAGCCAGGTATTGGTTATTTTCCTATCCCTATTTCCAAACAATGACAGGCTGTAAGTTGTGTGACTAAATATACTTATAGATCGATAGGTTTCTGTTTTTACTAAATATGGGGAAAGTGTGTTTACGTTCTTCAAGCTGGCTGAATGTTGGTATGCAGCAACAAACTGGAGCCTTTTTAATGCTCAATAAAACCTAAAAAAAGATACATATATCTGAAGGCCAGTCTTTGACATTTCATGTGAAGGACTGGGTAAAAACAGCATGACAGAAATTTTTAAAGGTTTCAAAACTAACTTTTTAAAACCCTGTTATACCTCAATTACAGCAACCCAATTTGCAGTGTCTTTAAATAATCTTATTTTATTTATGAAATTATGCTATTATAGGAGTAAAAATGTCAAAGTCTAAGCTTTGATCAGTTGTTGAGAAAACTCCCCAAGCTTAAATGTAAACATAAAAACAGACATGATTCCCAGAATGATGATCATCCTCAGTAAAATGTATATCTGTATGTCGTGCAAGCGCTCAGATTAAATCCCAACCCCTGAACTGGCGTGCACATAAATGACTCACTGGTGCGGGGGAAAATTTAGGCCAAAACATGTCGATATTAAATGATCAGCAGCTTACAAATCCTTACAGCGTCTGCCTTTAGGTTAGATGAGTGGGCCTAGAACTTGAAAGGTCATTGATTTCAATGGGTAAAAATGTCATGGACAACCTATGTGTGAGTCAGTGGGTATAAAAATGCCCTTAAGCAAACCCTGAGTCCCATGGTGGTCCCAGTTATTCAAATGTGAAAGATAAATGTCTCTTCACAAACCTCATCCTGCATAAATTTGAGGCAGCTTTGCCAGGCAAGGTTTAACTTACTTGGAAAACTGATTTAGGCTAAGAAAAAGTTGGAGAAATATATACAATTGCATTTTTGCACCGCTCTTGGAACAGTTTTCCTTTTTTAAAAATCTCATCTTGAGATACTGTTCTTTTGAAGCATCTAAAAACACAGTTTGCTTCTCAAATTGCCCCTGATTCAGGTCTATATAGTTATAAATAGGAATCTTAAAAAATACGGATCCACGATAACAAACTGCCAGAGCTCGCCTCTTTTCTGGCCACAAGGAAGAGAAACTGAGAACAGAAATCAGTAACAGGTCATCGCCATGTCCAACAGGCTGTTCTAATGCTGGGTTTGCTTGTAAGTATTTACGTCACATGATTTGGCTTCACAGGTACAATTAGCACAACGTCCTTAGCTGGAGGAATGAAAAAGGGAACACTGCACTGTGGGGTTGGAAAAAAATGACCTAGCTTACATTTTAACACCCACAGGCTTCTGGCTTTTGTTGCCAACATGTTTGAAGAGCTCTCAACATGCCAGTTAGTTTTCCCGCTGGCTACATTCTGCACAATTAACAACATGGAGTATGTGTGTGTATATTTAGCCTAAATGCTGTCACACGTGGCAACTTGTGTGCTTAATTTCAGTAATATAAATGAACCACATATGTCTTAAAAATACCAAAAAAAGAAGAAACATGACTATCAAACAGAGAATATAGACTTTCTGTTTGCAAGCTGTGAAACTTTTATTTGACATCTTTGAAGCATGGCGTTTCTTTGCAAGACCACCCTACGTGTTCCCTCTGCGAGCGTGTTGTTCATCTAAGAGGCCACCTGTGGTGTCCTGTCTCCACTGACAGGCCGGTAATTAGTGTCGCCCCGCCTCTCTGAGTCAGGTGGGATGTCTCATGTCAAACGCAGGACAGCAGCAGGAAGGACAGGTGGTTGCTTACTGCTAAACATTTGAAAAAGTTTTGTGAACTAAAAAATATTTCTCTTATTTCTTTGTTGGCCATGTCACTTTGGGCAAATAGATTAGTGGTTACCCAGATAGATTCAGTTCCTGTTTACTGTGGGCTTTAGGGCCCCTGGGTACATCTCTAATTAATAGTTCCACTCTCTTAGCTTTGACACACACCCCATTTGTAAGCATTGCACTATTTGCAACCATTCTTTCTACCCACTTACATATTCATTTTCTTTTATGCAATACCTTGACAAAGTATTCAGATACAGGGTATTTTTTTCACATTTTTCTGAGCTTATAAACACAAACA